ATATTTCTAAATCGAATATATTGAATTAAGTATTTCACCAGTCAGCCTAAAGCCTCTGCTGCTAGCGTTGTGTTTTGTGGTCTATATAATAATAGTAAGCTTTTTATAAAATAATATAAAATAAATAAATAAATTTCTAAGATTCATAATTAAATTACTAAAATCTTAATCACGAGACTGAAACATGGTACATAAGAATTTGGTACAAGAACTTTTATCCATTTACATACTGCTCAAGAACAATTATCCTTTTTCTTTATTGGCGCTGTAACCGCCTAAACGATTTTGGCCGAGTCCAAAACAGTACGTTTCTCTTCTGAAACCAAGTCCTTCTCCATCTGGTCTTTCCAACGCAGAGGAGACCTTCCTCTTCCTCTATTACCAGCATCATGGCCCGCGTTGAATACTTTCAGAGCAGGAGCATTTCTTTCCATTCGAACGACATGGCCAAGCTAGCGGAGCCGCTGAATTTAAATTTGCTGCACTATGGCCCCGATTATGATTCACAACTTTCAAGATAGTTGAGTTGTAAGTTGTAAGTTGGTATTGTGGGACACAACTCAACTCAACTTCGAAAATGTAGTTGTCTAGCACTAGCATCCTCGGGCTCATCGGTAAAACATAATTCGTAACTGATTTAAATTTTTTTGCTTTTCATTATTTTAACATCATAAAAATAAAATTATATTATGAAAATAACAAAATTTCTATCGAATTTACGACTTTTTCAATGGCAGTTGTGAACGGCAATAGCAATAAATAATTGAGTTGTGTACGAGTTGAGTTGTCTCAGACACAACTCAACTAAGTTGAGTTGTGAACCATAATAGGGACCTATGTCTATGTCCTTGTAAAGTTCATACAGCTCATCGTAAAATCGTCTGCGGTATTCGCCATCGCCAACGCGTAAAGGTTCGTAAATCTTTCGCAGAATCTTTCTCTCTGAAATTCCAAGAGCCGCTTCATCAAATGTTTTCATTGTCCATGCCTCCGCGCCATACACAACATAATATCCAGTGGGAGTCCGATAATGAAAAGTTAGTCCTAGTTGAGGATTTTGAGTTTCTGTTGGCGTGAAATAAGTTGCTGCGAGAAATGGGTATACGTTGCCGGCATGAATGGATTTATTATAGGGCCAAGAGCCGTTATGCCTAAAAGTTTATGGAGAAATTATAGCCTATTACAATATAAAAAATCAGTCTGTCAAACGTTAAACCTCGTCATAGTTATTTAAGCAGATCGAATAAGGTTTTGGTTTTATTGTATTTTGAAAACACATATTTGTTTACATATAAAAATGTTTTATTTATAACAGCAAATCACATACTGTGGGTACAATCGATTTTACAGGAAATATGTATGTACATACATATGCGATCAACTAATTAGCAACGGAACTCAAAATTATATTGTTTGAAAATTATGTTTATTTATTTATTTTTAATAAATTTCCATTCAAAATATAAGTCAATCAAAGTTTAAAAGCTCGCACAATTAGAAATTTTTTGTGGAGGGTGTTGCGCATTTTCTTCCATATAACACATGATCAACCAAAAAATTCTAAAATATCGATGGTAATTTTTAACGACTTGAAACTGAATGGGTTACAAAACTGCACACCCCAGAGTTTTCTAAATATTCTAATTAAAATTTTTGAAATTTTGATGACAATTTTTTGAAGTTTGATTATTTATTTATTTTTTTGTTTTACAATTTGTCCAAGCTTTTAAACTTTTATTTTTTCGCCTCCTGTTATAGATTCAATTATATTTTAAATGAAAATTATTAAAAATAAATAAATAAACATAATTTGCAAACAATATCACTTTGAATTTCGTTGCTAATTAGTTGATCGCATTTGTATGTATGAATAGACATTATAATGTCTTATATATATATATTGAATTTAAAGCGAACACAACTGGAACCGTATATGCAAATTTCCGAGATGAAACAACAATAGAAGTTATTAAAACAAAATATATTTCCATGTGGAAATATACATAAGTATGTATGCATTTGTTAATGTATTATACGGTGAATAAGCGAGCGCATTCACGATACAATGTGACCCAGATCTATATCTGTCAAAGGACTGTCATGGGGAATTTTTATGCTGTTATAAGAGCAACAATAATAAATGTATGTGCATATGTACGTATGCAGCAATATTAGCTCTGATCCAGTACTCCATGAACTTACAGGATTTTACACGAACTTGCAGGAAAAATGTTCCCTTACTCCAAAATCCTGTAAATGAGAGCGACTTTTGGAGAGTTGTGTAGAGAATGAAGTTGCAAGATTTTACCCGAACTTTTTCTTCTGGTAAAATCATTAAAAGTGTCAAGCAATCACTGGTTAGCGTTTTTACAGGAAAAATGTTTTTTTTTGTTCCCGTACTTTTTGTTGTTACTCACTTTTTACTCTCACTTCAGAGAGTAATTTTGCTGTTTGACAGATTTACAGGATTTTTCAGGAAAAGTATTGGATCAGAGCTAATATGTATAGAGGTGATCATAGTAGCGCAAATACGAAAAGAACAAACGTCCAGATTGTGCATTGATGTTTTTTAAGGTATATGTATTTATACATGCAAATAAGCAAAGAAAAACACAATTTTGATTTAGGCATTGTTGTACTAGGATTATACATATGCATAATTAATTTTAAATTTAACGTAAGATTCTGTCAAACGTAATTACATAATTGGCTTAAGGCAACATATGTTATCCATAAACAAGTACATAAGTTCTAGTCCATGATGCGGTAGTATGAATATGCCCATAAGCATAATAATATTGTTAATTTTGTAGTTACATTAAACACCACAGTTTTGTGGCAAAGCATATAAAAACATAAACTAAAGCTATTACAAATTAAAACTCAAAATTAAACTTGAATTCATTTTAATGATTGGCGACATAATGATATTTGTAATTGCGCTTTTCCTTACGAATACACATATACATGTTGAATATGTATGCGCATATTTGTGTGAGCTCAATGCGATAGTTGAATCTAAATTAAACACTTTACTTTTCACCAAATTTAATTGGAAAATCAAACTGAAACATAATAGAAAGGCATTAAGCGAAAGAGCAGTAAATTACTTATAGATATATCTAAACTTTTAACGTATGTGTGTATATATATATTTAGTTATGTAAAGATGGGTTGTGATTGTGAATATATATATATATATATATATATATATAAGTAAGTTATACGTGGATGCGCACATTTTTTAACCAAGCACTTCAACTTAAATTTCTTTTATTATTTTGAGCAAACTAGTATAGTTCAAGGAAATACATATGTATAAGTTAATTATGTATCGATAGTTGTATGCCTTAAATTTGGGAACGCAAGCGTGGGCGTGGTAAATCGCCAAACACCGCTTCGCCATGTACGCTCTTAGCCAGCGCTTTGATGCTCGCAGCAATATCGACAGTGTTGTCCAGATCCTAACAAAAACGATAGAGAGCATAGCAACAGTGTCAGTGCGAGAAATAATTTATAAAATATATGCATTCAATAAACCTACATCTTCTTCCAGTATATTCACATAGGAGCGCCCGGCAGTCATTGGTGAATTTGCTATTTCAATTGGTAGACTTTTGGCAAAGTTCATGACATCGGCAGCACTGGCGGCGCCTGGGCGCTGCTGTCCGGCATTCATGGGACGTGAACCCATCGGTATGGGCAGTGTACTATCCAAATCAAGAGCAACTGAAAACATAAGACAGAGAAATATACAGTGTCTCAAACAAATGACCATAAAAATAAACAAATAAAAATAATGTTCAAGTTTGTAACAAAGCAAAACCTACCTTCTGCCTCGGCGGCATCATCTTCACTTTCGTCCACGTCGCTCATATCCCGGCCGTGATAGTGATGATGTTGTGAGTAATTATTCATTAGTCTTTGCTGCTGCTGCTGTTGATATGGCAGTTTTTGTGACAAGTTCGACACCATGGCACCGAATGGCGAGGTGCTGCCTACGTTCGAAGAGCTTCCACCACTATCAATGCCCTCCAACTCGAAGAGGCAATCATCTGCCAATTCGACTGTTGGTGTTGGGAATTGTTGTTGGAACGAGTTAGCGGCAATACGTACAAACTGTTGATGTGACATTGAGGATTGTTGTTGTTGCTGCTGCTGTTGCTGCGGTCGGAAGGTGGGACTGTTACCCACGCTCATCGGTGTGGCTTCTGGCGTCGCCGGTGGTGTATCGAAGTGGGACAACCGACGATTGAGGCTGCTGCTGCCGACAATTGCCGTGGCCAATACTGAGGTTGTCGCTGCTGGTGTGACTGCTGTTGTTGAGCCAGCAGTACCCTGAGTATTCGCTGTATCCATGGCACTAGCTGTGGTGGGCGCCGTTGTGGTCAACGGCAGTGAGAGCATGTGAAGGCCATTCGTAGTGGGGTTGGGTGTAGTGGGCGTCGACGGTGTCGTAACGGTCGTCATATCTCGACGATTGCTAATTGTGTTGCGACGACGCCCAGCATAACTGCCACCGCCAATCACCTCCAATGCTGGGGGCGTACGATCCAAAAACTCGATCGCCTGTTGCTCAGGCACACGTTGAATTAAGCGTCCCAGTAACGCATATTCCTGCTCAGACTTTTCACGGAAGCTCTTCAACAAAGCAAACTGTTGCTCTGTGTACCGTTGAATTCGTTCATCAGTTTCTGCTATTTCACGTTTAAGTCGCTGCTGCAAATTTTGTTGCAGTTGCCGTAAACGTAGCTGTTTCATGTCCTGCGGCATAGATGGCGTGGCTGCCGATAATGAACCGACTGAGAAATTTGACAATGGACCAGTAGGCGCCTGCTCCAATTGCAATTGTGGATGATCCATTATGAGCAGACCGAATGTATCGGAAAACGATTTATCAGCACGCCTAAGTGCCAACTCCTCGTTGTTTGTCAGGAGCGAACAATTGATGAGGAATTGCGGTGGGTTAATAGTGAGTGGCGCAGGTGTGCTGTTTGCACCTACAGGTAACGGTGGCGTTGGAAGGCGCTTGGCACAAAGAGCCGCATTACAATTGATGCAAATGCTCAGCTGCCATGAATGGATTTGTGGATGATCTTGCCCAGTTGGCACCTCTAACGTTATGCTATAGACCAGATCGCGCTGACTCAGCGTATGAATGTTGAGATCAGTAATAGGTCCAATGGCCTGGAAGACAAAATTAAAATAGGTTAAAAGGTGTATGACCTTAATTTAAAAAAAAGCATAGTTTTTAAATAATTCTGACATTTTATTTAAAAGAAAAAAATAAGAAATTATGAGAGGATTTGAATTTTAACCAATACATATATTTAATTTCAAGAAAATGCGTGGCATTTTCCGGTTACAGGACGGAAAAACCACTTGGATCACTACGGAGATCGGTACAAATTTGCGATCTAAGCTGGTGTTCGTCAAAATGGAGCTAGAGAAAGATAAGTATATACAGGAAAGAAGCTGCCTCAACAAGGCTTCATTTAAATTTGGGCTGCCATAAAAGAAGAAATAAATTGGGGCTCACATTTTTGTTTAGCCTGCAGATCAAGCGAGGTATAACAACAGCTGCTTTGGGCTCGGTAGGCAATTAAAAAGCTTGAAAGCAGTATTTATTTAAATGAACAAGTTCACAAATACATAATACCCTGTGAAGACATGTGCATAAAAAAAAAAATAAATTGCAAAATAACCACATCAAATAAGGTACATACTAATAAAATTTGACCGATCGCATTGCCAATATGTATGTTGGAAGGCCATTTTCTTAATCAAACATACATAAATACAAACACGGTAAAAATAAAAAAAGCATGCTTCTTCCTAACATGCTCGTGTAGAATATCACAAACTAAGCTTTTCACATGCATAGATATGTAAGTACATTAGGGCGGGTCAATTTGTATGGGAGATTTTTCCGACTATGAGCCTATAGCACAGAAGTATTATACGTGTAATTCTAAAATTGATTTGGAATTTATTGCGAAAATAGTTTTCTTAGCATTTTGCTGTAGAGTTGTAAAGATGTGCTTAAATTTTGTATCAAAACATGGTATAAGGGTTTTCTTTTGGTGAGGAATCCATTTTTCAACTTGTTTTATCTTAGAATTTCCACCAGAGAGTGCAACAGTGACAATTTTCACATTTTCTTCGCAACCTATTTCACAATTTGGCGAACTCCAAATTGATTTTAGACCCATAATTTCTTCGGCAAATTTGCTTAGAATTAGACGTAAAATCCTCCTATGCTATATGCGCAAAGTAAAAAAAAAATGACCCGTCCTAATGTGCATACATACATACATACACATGGATTTACTTACTGAATAGTAAATATGATAAAAATTATAGCACGCGTTCGCCGCCTGACAGACATCGTCGTCTGTGGCTACTTTAACCACACAATACATATCGTTGTATTCTATAAGAGCATAAAATTAAACGACATGGATAATGTGCACAGCAAGTGATCGGTGTCGGTTTGAATTTTAGAAGCAACATACCGGCATGTTAATTTGCCACTCGTCGTACAATTGATAGATCAGTAGATGGAGGCATTGCTGAATGTATAATGGCTCACCATTCGTAGAAGGTCCTGCTTTTGCGAAAAAAAACCTGAAGCAGGTTCTCCTTTACCTCCTTATGTTATTGTAAAGTTATTCTAAGCAAAGAGTTTTTAGGCGCGCAAAAAAGCGAAAGTCTGACGTCGCAAGTTCAGACAATTACAGTGACAATGCATACCATACCAGCGCCAATCATTTTGACGGGACGCCGAAGAGCTCAAAAACCACTACACGCTTGCAATTCCACACAATACCACAATACACAATAACCTTTCTTTGATGAAGTTATGTTTAAGCAGGGATCAAACGATTTGTATATTTGTGCAGATTTTCGATATATTTTGGCAGTCTGGAAATTCTTTCATTAAGCTTAAATTTCTAATCAACACTACACTGTGACTGCCAAAATGTACAAATCGTGTGATCTCTGCTTTAGAAGTCGTTCTCGGAGCGTTTGCCTTCCATATCGTTGTTAAGAAGGCGAGATCCCGTATTGCCAATTATCCGAAATTATTGCAAACTATAACATTTTTTCGTTCTCGTACCACAAAAACTTGCAAAGAACGGAAATTATGGGGGCAAAATGACATTTAATTTTTAGAGGAAGCTGCAAATTTCTGCTAGAAAAAAATTTACATGCGAATCAGTTGATCCCAAACATTTCTTCGTGAATAAACAAAAAATAAAATAGAGCTTTGTGATGGATTATATTTTATAGCAATATGCTAGATATATTTTTATATAACTTTATGCTTTCATTTTTTTTTTTAATTATGAATATTAAATAAACAAAAGAAAAACTGCCAATACTGAGGATCAAGAGGGGGCGCTATTCAAGTGGCCATCGCTGTAAAGTTCATAATGTATAAATTTAATTTATTGGCAAAAAATACCGACCGCTTATTGTTGAAATAAGTGAAGTAAAATATCTAAATATTAGAGGTTAATAAATGATCAACATTTCCCTACAAAAAGATTTAATTCGCTATTCTCCATACGTATGTACATAGTATGTACGAGTATGCACATACGTACATACATTTGGATTTACATACAAATGCTTAATTTCTATTTTGAGGGATACACGCGCGCACAAGTATCCGCCTGCTGGCGCAACAATTGTTTACATTTTAATAGACAAATAGCGTCAAAACAGGTTTTTTGTTTTTGGTATTGTCATTTGCATACATAAATAGCACTAGTTTTGGTTTTGATTTCAAAGTGCCCGAGAAGCAGCAGAACTTGTGTCGTCCCAAAGTCGTCCGTCCAATGGTCAATCTAATTCATAACCCAGTAATTGAACAGATAAAATGTGATCAAAACTACATATATGATAAAAGATGAAAATGTAGTGCAGCAAATATAAATTTTATGAAAGTTAAGGCAGGAATAGTGATAGAACTTTTTAGAAAAGTATCGATACTAGTACTCATTTAGAATACTCTAAAGAAGAATCGATGTCAGTACTCATATTTGCAAAAAAGTATCGATAATACTCGTACTTTCAGGTATTTCTAGAGCAAACGCGAAAAGTGAAGAAAAATCAGATTGCTTTGCTTTCCTATTTGTAAATTGAATAGCCATAGCTTTTAAAAGTTGAAATCTGATGAAACAAACAAGCATTTCTAAAGGAGTTTTTGAAGTAAACTTGCAATCAGTTTACTTCTACAAGCTTGAAATAAATGTTTATAGCAAAAAGTTTATTGGAAGATTTAAATTTTATAAGTGTTTGACGCTTATATCTATAAATCATTTTACTTTGAAAATGAAATGGAAATATAGAAAGCGAGAAATAAATGAGGACGTGAGAGCAGAATTGGCCTAACCCAAAATTATCAGGCATGTTCTGAAATTCGAAAATTTGAAATCGACTCGATTTCAAAAATTTTTTTGATGGTTTTTAATCCAAAAATTTCTAAGTCTCGCATTAAGATGATTTATTTCATATCGCTGTTGCTTCTTTTATGGTTTTCAATTAGAATATTCACTCTTTTCGTCAGATATAATTAAAAAATTTTTGGCAAATCGAGTCGATTTCAAAGTTTCGAATTTCAGAACATACCTGTATGATTTTGGTATTTTTCTATTTAAAATAGTCACACATTGAACATCTTAAAAACAAAAGTAGCCAATTCCTTAATTTAAAGTATAAAGGTACATATTGAACCATTAAATTAAGATATATACGACCTTTATTTGAAAATTTATCACTTAAGAAGGTACAAAAGAAAAAAATGTGGTGAGCCCCATTCTCTGAAAGAAAGATAAGCTCTTTTCCATAAAATTTTTTTGAATGGGTTGGACTCCGAAAAAAAAAAAAAATAAATAAAAAATAAAAAAAAAATACATTGGATATTGAATGCTGCGTTATGCTGGAGAAGCCGATCGATCCGAAAACCACCCTCTTACACAATTCATTATGGAAGGTCAGGCAAGAATTCGTTTTCTAATTATTAAAGAATTTTTACTATCACTTGCAAAAACAGGAAGAAGAAGGTCAAAAACCAATTGGCTTTGTTTATTACTACGTTTACGCTGCGTTTCTACTCAGTTATACTCAACGCGGGTATTTTTTTTCCGGTAATTTTTTTTTAAAATTTTGACAAAAACATTATTTTAGTTGGGTTTCATCCTCTCCTCAAAGGTTACTTATTTTTAGAAAAAAATCACGCGCCTAATGTACATACATACGTACACATATGTATATGTAGTTTGTATGAAATAAAATTTTTAACGTCAGCAAAAATAAATAAAAATGATCAAAAATCAATGCAAATTCCTAATTTCTGGAGAGTTGGCATGCGGTATGACACAAAAAGGGTGTTCTGAATAGCTTTTAAATAGTTCTAGAGTTCTTCAAAAGCAAAAAAAGTTCTGGACGTTTTGACAAAAAAAAAATTGTATGCCAGATTCATGCAGGATTTTGCATGCGGCAAAAGTCAAATAAAAAACTATTCTGAGTAGCTTTTTGAATAGTTATTTATGGAATTTTTTTTTCGAAAAATTTTAAGTCAAAATTTAAAAAAAAAAAAAAATTAAAACCGTTCTCGAGTAGCTTTTCAGTAGTTACAATGTTGCTGAAAAATAGAAAAAAAGTTCTGCAACAAACCAATTTTTCAAAAAAGTCGAAAAAGTTGAATGTTTGAAAAGAAACTGTTCTGAGTACCCATTCAGTAGTTCTAGAGTTCCTGGAAAGAAAAAACAAAACTGCTTACCAAAAACCATAGTAAAACTTCTGAATAGGAAGTTTTAAATTTTGGTGGACTTTTATTGAATTTTTGAAATCGCCATTTATGTATAAGTTATATAATGAGGTATACTTTTATAAAAAACTAATGAACATTAAACAAATAAAAGAAAAATAATAAAAACTGGTTAAAATGCTGAGTTGCTATTTTCTACCGGCACTGTATGTATATGTAAATACATATGTATGTATGTATATCATTAAGCTACATGCAGCCTCGGCAAATGAAATATTTGCTATTCTATTTAAATTTTGACGATGCGAATTGCGAGCGTAATCACAAAACAGACTCTAACTAATTTTATTTTGAGGAATAGAACTAGAAATGCTTGCTGATCACGCAGGCAGGCGCTGCTTGTTTGAAT